CCCCCTACTACTACTACCACCACTACTGCTACTACTCGACATTACTCTACTCAAATAATTAACAACTTAAAGGCTCGAACTCTTACCTTAATGGAGATCGCTCACAACCTACTATCCCCGAACTCGAGCTTCTTTTACAGAAAGTGGAGAGTAAAAAGTGAAAAAGTGAAAATGAATAGTGGGGTATTTATAGGGGTCATGGGCAAACCAACAGTCACTTAATCTAAAACCCTTAAAAAGGACACGTGGCAAAGATCTAAGTTCGAGCTCTGACAACCAGCCACATGACAGACATGTGACATTGTATATGTCCAACAGGTAATTGACAGGTGTCGAGGTCGATATCAGGCCACGACATCCTTTTTGCATCTCAATCTAAGATCGTTTGCCCTTCACGATCTATAACTCAGATGCACGGGGGCCTATGATGATTCCGGGATTGGTAACCCCGAACTCTCCTTGAGTCTGTGTACCATGATCGACCTCGACCTAATACCCCCGAGTTGATCTTGGTGAGTTGGGCTATTTAAGGTCGGGGTTTACCCCCCAGGTCGGGGATATTTCTTTCCCGATGCTGCCCGCCGACTTGATCTCCAAAAGAAAATAGACCCCACCTAAGTCTACTCCTCTCCTGATTAGAACTCTAACAGAATACTTCTAATGACACTCCAACACCTAATCCTAAGGGGGAAAGGACTCTTTCAATGATAGAATCCTTCTACAGCTCCCCCACCAACATCTATAAATACTTGGCCAAAGCTCAACACAAATGTACTTTTTTCATTATCTTCAGTTTGTAGCCTCACGCACTAAATTCCCTATCTAACTTAAGCATCGGAGGGGCGACAAGCACACACCTCGTTGCCTTTGTTGCAGGTAATCACAAACCGGTCGTATTCATCAAAGTGAAGTTGGACCATCAAGTTCGAGATCTTTCAGGTGACATTTTTTGGTAGCATCAACTTCTAATACGAATTTCATATTGTTCACGAGGAAAAACACGTCTACGCTCATAGCCATTGGACTTGCACTCGTATCAATTGATATCCATGTAGTCACCGATTATTTAATGATACAAGTATACTTCTATGAATTCCAAACACCACATTATGTAAGAATGACACGTAGATTGCTAATTATTGGTGGAAGAAAAACGATTTCCTATTGTGACATGTACAATGATGGTTGTGACTAGAGAACATGTGAAGTAGTTTTTGAATTCATCAAGTCACGATTTATTCATTCGTATTTCCAGAACGTTAAAATGTTGGACACAGTAATTATTGATTATTTTAAGCGAAAGAATTAATAAGAGAGAAGAATCAATTATCCTTTAATAACGACCAATTAAGGTTACATTCTTATCCTCTATGACAATTTTATCTATTTTCCTATAAAAAATAAATAAATATATTTTTTGAATTTTTTTTTACCTGAATTCTAAGATTTTTTTCAAACTTTGAGATTTTCGAAAATGTAATCTTAATACTGATATACTATTTTTCCGTCATTTTCCCCTATAATTTATTGGGCTCGAGGTTATTGTGAGCTGGTAATTAATCACAAGCGTCATAGGAAGTGTTATTCCAGAATTGGCCAAGGTGCACTGAGTCAAATTTAAGTTCAACTTACAAGAATACTCTTAAAATTAGGGATTTTTAAAAAGTCATATGAAAATTTTTTTGAAAGTAAAAAATACTGTGCGATATTAAAAAGTGACACAATGTCACTTTTAAAAGTTAAGTGTCACTTTTTTACTCTTAAAAAATGATGTTTGTCATTAAAAAAATGTGATAGAAATCAAGACGGTGATTGGAAAAGGTGACAAAAATCCAAAAGATTGACACAAATTAAAAAAATTACACATATTAAAAAAAAAGCAACAAAAAATAAAAATGTGACAAACGCTCAAAAAGTAACCAAAAAAAAAAGGAGAGAGAGAGAGTGACGGACTCAAAAAAGTGATAAGTTTACATAACAAGCCAAAAATAACTACTGGAATCGAATATAATAATTCAATTTACGGTTTTAGGCATCAAATTATTAAAATTATATTTCGCATCAATTTGATTCGTCTCGATCATATAATTAAGTAAACAAAGACAATGAGATTTTAAAATGTTATAGGAGCCCACGAAACTTTATATATATATATAATGTGAAAAAGAGATTATGCAAGTGCAGGTGCTCATGGCGTTTGAGGAAGAATTTGATTGCTTTAACTTTGACCGTATTCACCATAATTAGGATTTCGGTGATTTTGATTAATGTAAGTTTCAATTTCTTTATTTTAGACACGTAATCGACCTAATTTTTTCTAAGGGGGTGTTTGAGAGCCATTTTTATGTAAAAATACATTTTAGAATAGTAATTTGATGGAACGTTTGTGGTTGAAAAATAAAGAAAAGATTTTTATTTATGTGTAATATTATTTTAATAAAGAATATGTGGTTGAAAAGAAGAGGGAGAGAAATGTATTGTGGAAAAAATGGGTACCCAACGGGGGCTAAATTTAAGAAGAAGAGGATGGGCCAAGCCCAAAGAACCCATAAACCAAGGAGGGCCTGATAAAAATGGGAAACTAGTATACCTGGACCTGTCGGACTAAAGGCCCAAAAAACGTATTCATTGTTTGTTGGAAGAAAAAAAATGTAACCAAGAGAAAACAAAATTCATGAAATACTACACACTAATTTATATACTATAAATACTAGATGTTATAACAAACCAAAATTACTAAAACCTTAAATTTTCTAATTTTTTGTAAGTGAAACGTGACAATAGCCATGAATTTGCATATTAATAAATAAATATCCTAATTAATCGTTTGATTGAAAAAATCAGGGAAATTCAAAATTACTCCACAAAAATAATGAAACCTTGCAATGGTTTGATTATCTACAAGGTTGTGGACTTCACAAGATCCTTTTTTGACATAGTATTTATAATTCTCGAGATAAAAACACATCATATGATTTTTTATGCTATGAAAATTTACTCATTCTATATATTCCTCTTCCCGTATGATTTTAGTGCATAATGTAACTTCTGATACCTTCATCACGATGAATGTTTCAATATATTTTATTGTTGGTATATTGTTGAGATAATAAGCATTGCTATATAATGATTAATGAATTTAAGTATGAAATCATATTGAAAATTAGTCAGTAATTTTGGTTATATTTTGGAAATTTTGAAATGTATTATACTTTTTGAAATCAATATGCAAAATTATCTCTAATTTTTCAAGAGAATGTGACATGAGATTCTTATATTTTCATAAAGATCATTTGGAGTTATTTGATTCATTGTTCAGTATTCATCTAATATGAGCAAATACTGGAACTATAAGTTTAACATCCATCCTAGTTCAATTCTTCGAAATTTGTTAAATATCTATCCCTATATGAAATTTACAAAAGATATACTTCTCTTGTCCTTAACTTTGTAAATATGCATTTCGAACCAAAAATCAATTTCATTAACAATAAGTTTTCGTCAAAATCAATATTTTTGGATGGATTACAATTGCTGGTATGAAATTAGCTCCTTAGGAATTAAAATAGAAATGCAACCATCTCCAGTCCAGCATTTGTGACGTCGTCTTATGAACATGTTTGATACTATACAAACTTCTTTTCCTCTTTCATAATTGATTCAGTGGTAGTGGGTGCCTAAACATCCTTCTATTATGATTGTAAAGACCCTGACCTTAATGTCATCTAGATGTTGGAGGAAATATCACAACCAACGATATACCTTATGAAATCAACTAACATTTAAAAGACATACGAGATAGCAAATGATAAATAATTAAATATATAAACATAGACTAACAATCAACCATATATTAGGAGTAAAGTTATTTTTGATATATCACTTTTATTTTTACATTGCAGTGTTTATGAAATAAAAAATGTTGAATGGTAATATTTGAATATTTAATAAAAATTATGTACTCATGTAACTTCCACTTGTTTTATCCCGAAAGAGAATAATTAAATAAATAAATAAACTACAACTCAAAATCAAATTTTTATGTGTTTACTTTATTAGCAGTATCTTTTTTCCTACATCTTTTCACATATTTTTTTTCAATAATATTAAAGCATTAGAAATTGAGAACAATATGACTACAGCAATAGTCTATTCAAAACGAATCATGGACACCATTAAAAATAAATAAATAAATAAATAAATCATAGGCATGAAGTGTAATGCAGGCCACTATATATAAATCTTTATTAAATAAATAAACGTCGTTTCTTTAAAATCATGATAGTTTCTCCAATAGTGAAGCTATAATTAACTTGAAAAATGAATCTCGTATTATATCCAAATAGATTAATCCTTTCTACCGTTTCCAATACAATGAGGGTTCCTAACAATCTTCATAACGTGAAGAATAAATTTTAAAGGATTTTTTCTTGAATATGCGTTTTGGTCTCTTGACTTTTTGATATATCAAGAAGACAAAAATTTTATAATTTTTATCATCATCTAAATAAAGAGACCTATTCATTGATAAGAACAAGAGAAGACTTGACCTTGAATTTTTCAAGAAACAATCTTTATTCCAAAAAAAATTAAATCGAGTAGGGCCAGTTATGAACTTCATGTGGTCGAATATCTTAATAGAACTAAACTAGGTCTTGTGACAGGAATGTTTAAATAATTAATATTTTTGAACAAATTAATATATGTTTTATAATAAAATAAAATCAATTTGTACTGCTAATGAAGTTCGTATGGTCTTATAACTTGATAGAATAAAACTAGGTATTTTGATTGAAAGGTATCGGTAGCCAATATCTTCTTGAATCAGTATATATATATATATATAACTTGATAGAATTGAACTAGGTCTTGTCATCAAAACATGTCGATAATTAATATCTCCTTAAATCAACTAATTGGTATATGTTTTATAATTGTTTTTGAATCAATGAATCAATATACAAATTCCAAATTACAAACATAAAAAAAAGGTCAAGCACTCAAACTCTGTAATAAACTGGAATTCCAGTCACTGTCCCGTTAGAAAACTTGTTAGTCACCGGGCCACCAAACCACGGCATCGAGCCACTGGCGGCGTAGCTCATATTTGTCGGCCCGTTCACCTTCACCGACAGATTAAGAATCCCATTCTTCTCACCTTTGGCATCCCTCAGCCTATAACTCAGAAAACTCAAATAGTTCGCTGGTAAATAACCCCCGGTGAAATCTGACAAGGGAATTCTTGATATCCCAATGATTTTATTACCTGAATGAACTTCCACGGTAATAAAAGTTGCATGCATAGGTAAATCCAACACCAACTTCTGGTTCCATGTAGGATTGCATCCGTTTTCTGTATTCATCCCGGTGGATCTTTCATTTAACGGGTCGGTTCTTACGATGACAAAGGCATTTTTCTTCACGGGGTTTCTTCGGTTAACCCGCAAATCTTCACCAGAAATCACAGTTACTTCAATAACTCTCGACGATGCTTTCTCCATATCGAATTCAGAACTCAGAAGGATTTTCTTGACAATGTGTTCTATAATGTGTGGATTATTGAATGGTTTAGAGAAGTAGAATATAGGGTTTGTATTTATATTGTCGCAGAAGGAAGCCGAGGAGAAACGACAAAGAAAGAGATGGGAAAAAGCCCAAAAATTAATTTGACAGGTCAAAGGGAAATTTGTGAGATGATTGGTTGTCAATCAACCCGCGTGGCACACACTACTTTGAATTTTACTTGTTGGCGCGTGATTTAATTGAAATTCTCCTCGTTCTTGCTTTGATATTTCGCACTATGCAATTTTGGTGGCTGAACTTACACTGATTGGGTGACTAAAAATTTTGTCAAAATTGATGGTCTGATTTAATGAATCCTCTTTTTTCCATTCTTTCCTCCTTTTTTAATTAAAATTTCTCTCCATTTGCACGAAAGTTATAATTAAATTATTTGTGAGTCAACCTTCTTCATGTTAATACTTTTGATAGTTGAACTTCAAAAGGTTTCGTCATGAATACTCAACTTCTAAATGTGATAGCCATCCATCATTCTGATGAATTTCATTAAAGAAGCTACAGACATGGCCAATGAAACTCCTACGGGTCAACACATTTAACTTTGTCCAACTAGGACCAATTATGTTGTCAATTGGTCGCTGAACACTCTATCGTGTTTTTCCATTGTCTTTGAACTTTGAAATGAATTTTCATGTATCGAACTTTCTCTTATGATTCTCCATGGTCATTTGGAATTTCAAGCCACGACTATTTCCATCGAAGAGATTCATGACACTCTTATAATATTGAAAATGATAATATTATCTGTACATTTTTGTTGACGGTATGTGATGTGTAAAATATCTAAGTATTGATTGAATGATTGTTATTCAAATAAGAGGCCAGATTGTCTGACATATCATACGGTGCCAATAAAAATGTCAACAATAGTGTAAGTGTAATATGATTGTATTGAGATTAAGTCACTACAACTATCTTTTGTTGATCAAATTTAATTGTACATGAACAGAGTCAAAAAGGTAATACACTAATCAAAAGTTAAAGCATAAAGGTGATAATTGATTTACTATATCATGAATAAATCCAATCAAGATACACAATTCACAAATTGAACTAAAGAAAACCAAACATATAAAAGGTGAAAAATATCTACACGAAGAAATCTATGCTCAAGCCTCCATTCGGATTCATTTGAATCAAAAGTTCATTCCACATAAAAATTTGTAAAAATTATTTTTTGTTCTCACATCTTCAAATATTATTTTTATAGCACCTGTAAAATATTTCAGAATAATATGCAATGCAAATTCAACTATTACTAGTATATATAAAAGTTCTATCCATTATCAAAACAAAAAAATACTATTCCCATTCGTCCGATCAAAGACATGTGTCTAAACCAACGATTGTACACTCAACCCAATTATCTAATCATGACCATACTAATAAGTGAATTTTGTACACTTATTTCACACGTTAAACTAGAGCAATTATTTTCATTTTAAATGAATTGATGCTTAATTTTGTATATTTTTTGTTTGTTAAGTGCATTTCAATGAAAAATGATGAAAATGGACAAAAGAAGCAAAAAATCAGCCAAAATGGACTGAATCCAAAAGTTTGGGGTCTAAATTGTAAAGTGTTGATAGTTTATTCGGACATAATATTGATGATTGGAGAAGGTGTAGAGTAAACCAGATGGAATTGGAAGATAAAAGACCAAGAAGATGTTAAAAAGAGTTGAAATGAATGAAGATCGAATTGAGGGACTAAAATGTAACAAAAGGAAAATCTTCACAGCGCGGGACACCCTAATTGCCATTTACCCAGGGTAAACACATCCTATGGTGCACATGCGAGGCCCATCCCATTCTGCACTTTTAACCTAAAGTTATACGAAAATCAAATTCAACCTACTATTTAACCTAGAACGGATGACCAAACTGGAGGAACCACATATTATACATTTTTGCCACCACAAAAAGGAGGTTAGCACTAAATTCAAAAGCAATTAATACGAGATTGAAAATTCAAAATCTAGGTTGAAGATTTATGAAGAATAAATTGATTTTTCAATTTCCAATCATTATTTTCAATTTCGGGTGATATTTTTTCAAATTGTTTTGTATGATTTATTAGATAACATGCTATGCTAATTATTTTCATGTATTGGATGAAGATGAAATACTTTATTATATATTTTTAATTTAAGACGAGTAGTTTAATTAAATTCTTGTAATTTTTTACTAATATTTTATGCTTAATTTTATTATTTGATTGCTTGATTATCAATAGAATATATGGTTGCTTGTTATAATGCGAGGAGGCTCACAATAGGTCTAGAATATAGCTTGATTAATATATGTGTAATAAATATTAGAAATAATATTTATCACTTGTGCAATCTTTGAGAAAATTGTGAAATTGAATGTGTTATATTCATTCGAATTTAAACTAGGAATAAATTAGGGTTATGACTAGAATAGATTTAATTTGTCTTGAAAAAGAGAATTAATTACACTGAATTTATCAATTGTCAAAAATGTATGAACAAAATTAGTTATGTAATTAAGAATTGATATAGATAATAATAAATGAATTCGTAATCCAATACATTCATTCCATATACATACGAACGAATTCGTAATCCAATACACTCATTCCATATACATACAAAATTCGAATTTAAACCACAAATTTTTTGTTTGCTGACTTTGAGTTTGATTAGAAACTAGTATATTTGATTGAATTTTATTTCTTATGAGACAATACACATTACTCATCACATATTACTTGTCAACAATTACGTACACTTACGGAATTTCACCAAACAACGGTAACCAATTGAGTCTTTAGACATTGTTAAGTTACTATTGAACTCCTTATTAAAAGTTCGATAAATAATAACATAGCACCCTAAAGCTCTAGCACGAAATTATGACAATGCAAGGTAGAAATAGACAAAGATAAAAGAATCCATGTTTGCAAAACTTGTTATTATAGGAAGACACTTCTAAAATTATCGTAAGTATTTTAAAGTTTAATGATCATCTAATAGCAAATGTGAAAGTTTAGTGACAATTTGAGAATGGTATTCATCCTAATTTTAGTGATGTGGAATTTTCATTAGCCATGTCAATAGTTCCTTAAACAGAATCCATCGAAAGTAAGGGTGGACAAAATGATCAGGTCAAACCAGAACTAAATCAAATCAAGTAATTCAATTTGGTTCGATTCTAAAAATAAAAAATAAAATTAATAATTCTAGTTCTTAAAGCTGGGGACCATTTGTTCTAGTTCTGATTCTGGATATGGCTCTAGAGCCAAGAACCAGAATTGTGAGTCAAACTAAATTATTATTATTAAAATTTACAAGTGTGGAATGAAAGTTTATTAATCATTACATTTTGCCACTATTTGACAATCCTTAAAAATTTAAATTATTTGCTACATATCATTCTCCACGACGCATTCACACAATAAAATATTTTACAAATAAATCTATAAAATTTTCTTATTTTTTAACCACACATTCTCCAAAAATACTATTCAAAACTCTTTAATTTTTCAAATAATGGATGTCAAACGGGCCTTTTACCTTATTACCTATCAAACAAAGCGACTAAGCCTTAGATCTAAAATCTAATTCATTTATCTCATTTTCAATTTTAAACACAAAGTCGCACTTCGATACCACAATTATCACTACATTTGCTGCATATTCGATGTTTATTTATTTATTTGATTTGGGTATATATTACTAATTTATGTATATGATAATAGATTTTAATTTGCCTTTATCATTTGAATTTAAGTAATGGAATTAGAATCAAATCAAATAAGAACTAAATTGTTCGATTTCAATTTGGTTCCATATCTTTATAAAAAAAAAAAAATTAAAAAAAAATCAATGATTCCATTGTAAAGAAAAAATCAATAGCTCATGGTTTTGTTCTATTATCTTAAAATCAGAACAAAATTTAGCCCCCATTTAGCACCATTTTTTTCTCTCTTCTTTTTAACCACACATTTGTTATTAAAATAATATTACACGTAAATAAAAAAATTTTCTTTATTTTTCAACCACATACTTCCCTTCAAATTACTATTCTAAAATGCATTTTTACCTAAAAATGACAATCAAACACTCCCTTAATAATATCCATCTCTAATCGAAATGACGGACATGACATATTTGAAAGTTAAGTGGCCATGAGGAAGTATTTTAAAGTTGAATCTGCTATGGGTACAACATTGTTCACGTCATGGTTCACAACACATTTGCATGCAAGGAGTGGAGTCCACAATTAAAATAATCGCGGACCCTACTCATAAGAGAGGGGTTATAATTCTACGGTCCATAATAGCAATACCCTTTAAAGTTTAGCTCCCGTTTGGACTCCATTATTTGAATTTATAATGGGGGAATAATTTTTTTTTGAAAAATAGATGGTTGTAAAATAATTAAAAGTTTTCGATTAATGTGAAATATTATTTTATCGAAAATTGTGTGATTAAAAATAGGAGTGCGAAAAATTTAAATTACATTGATGAGTTTTATAGGGGAGCTTAGTGTTGGATTAATAATACGGGAAAGTCTAGCGGTCAATGATGTTCGTGTGATACCCGCAAGTGTACGGCATCGTTGACAAGTAATAATAAGTGAGTTAAGAGTTATCGTCCCACAGAGAATAAATTTAATTCAAATTTACTAGTTTTGTATGAAATTATAGTTATGAAAACAAAATAAATATTTTGATTTGATTTAAACTAAATTAATCTAAGAAAGCAATAAAAATTGGGGTTTTATTAAATTATGGAAGATTGTATTGGATTTTGACTCCGCCTATTGCTATTTATTTCAATTCTTGATTCGTAATCTAATTTCTTTCACGAGTTCTTGACAATCGATAACATTAATATGTTAAATGTTCTTTTCCAAGATACACCAACCTATGATTAACACGATCCGATCCTATTCCTAATTCGAATTCATATGAAATTCATGCATTTAATTTAAGTTATTAATATGATTGCATGTATGATAGATATTATTCCTAATCCTAACTATTCATGTTAATTTTGCCACGTTTTAGACTCGTTGTGAGTATTCCTACACTACAACAAGCAACTAACTATTCAATTGATGGCCAAACAATTCAATAATGCAATGGGAATGCAAAATTAATCAAGTAACACACGAATTAAACTAAATACTTATCTTGAATTAAAATAAATAAATAATAGAGTTCATCTCATCCAATACAATGAAAAACTAGCCCAACATAATAATATATAAATTACAAGAAAAATGATAGAAAAATATCACCCGGATCATGAAAGAATATAAAAGATGTCGATCTTCAAGTCCAAAGTTGAATTCTTCAAAAACTTGATGTAATTGAATTTCAATTCCTTACTATAGCTTGATCTTCTCTCTCAAAATATAGTAATTAACCCCTTGTTCTTGATGGATTTGATGAAACTATTGTGTATGAAGAGGCAAGAGAGAGACCCTTTCATTGCTGCCCATATATTGTATTCATCTAATGAAATTAGGTCAAAATTCACGTCCAAATTATCTTCTAAAAGAGTTTGAATCAAATAAGGAAAGTTGCATTCGCGCGCACATAATTTTGTCTCTGCACAGCCTTTAGTATTTTGATAATAACTTTCTCTTTAGGTGTCCGATTCAGGTGATTCAAAGTGCTTTGGAAAGCTAATTAAAAGATGTACAATTTTTCCAATTCAAACATTCTCCATCCAAAAAATGGGTCTCAAGTTGACCAAAAATCTTGAAAATATTCTATATGATTGAAAGTCGATTTATGGTAATATTATAATCATATCCCTTTCCTTTTTGACTCCAATTTGCATTCAATTAACTCCTATCAATCTTCAAAATATCTATTGTGGTCCAAATCAACCATTAAATATTTACACTTTGGTCCCCATACTTTGGATTTGTTTCATTTAGCTATTTTCCGTTCTTTTTTTCAATTCTTCTTTGAAACATGAACTTTTCCTCATAAAAATAATAAATAACAAATTAAGTGCTAATTCGTTTAAAAAATAATAAAATATTATCATTTAATATTTTAAATAAGTGTAGAAACTACACTTATCAAATGATTTGACCAAATAGTAACACGGAGAAAGTCCAACTCTTTCCATCGCTGAAAAGTGAAATCTGAGCTGTAAGTATTATACGACGTCGTACTTATGCATTATCTACTCCCGCTGCGCACTTCATTCCATCAGCTGCCAAAATCAATGGTTTCTTCTGTGTCTTCTCATCTTCTCCCGCTCCGCTCCAAACAACCATTTCCACCACCGAATTCCGCCACTACCCTCCTTCATATCCCAACTAACTTGGTGTTTACATGCGCAACCCGGACTTCCCAGTTTAAATGCTCGGCGGGTCAGACTGGTTTTTTCACTAAGCTGGGCAGGTTAATCAAGGAGAAAGCTAAAAGTGACGTGGAAAAAGTATTCTCCGGGTTCTCCAAAACAAGAGATAACTTAGCTGTCATTGATGAGCTTCTGCTTTATTGGAATCTCTCTGATACTGATCGAGTTCTAGACAATCTGGAAGAGGTTTTCGCTCTTTTCCTTTATATTAGTTTTTTAGAAATTCAATACCATTTCCTGAAGTTTCCTAGCAAATTAAATTTTTTTCTTACTCAAGGTAAATTGGGTTAAAAGGAAGCTTTCGATTCTGGGTTTTGTTCTATTTGATTATTTCTTAGGTCACTACTGCAGTAGTGCTTATATATGTCAAATGAATGTTTGAATGGTGGAGTTTTGTTTGCTCAGTAGAGGTTAATTCCACTGTGTGTGTATCTGGATCATTATTCTCTTTGGTAGCTAGGTATCTCTAATGCGCCTGATTTTTCTGTATCGTTTAGTAATAGCTGATACTTAAAGAAAATTTAAAATTTCATATTTCCTCGAAGAAAAAAATTAGTTTTTTACTTGAGAAATATAAATTGACTTGAAAGATTTAGGCTACGGCTTGTTATTTATTTAGTATCTGTTGGCAGTTTGATATCTGATCTTAACTCTTCTGTTTGGATTGGTGTATTTGATTATGGATCACAGCACACGATTAGGTATAAGACATGTGAACCTATGCATGTATTGGTGACAATATAGAAACAGATGCTGGTGTATGCAAGTGATGGGAGCTTTATTGTATTCATGTAATATTTTTCCATTTTCTTTTAGGCGTTGTTAGTGGCTGATTTTGGGCCGAGGATTACTATAAAGATTGTAGAGAGCTTAAGGGAAGATATATATGCTGGGAAGCTCAAATCCGGGACCGAGATCAAGGTTATTATTCTGATGTGTTTATCTGTTCAATAGATCTATTAAGTCCTCAAAGTATATAGGCCAAATATTTATTATAAGAATTTCCTGAAATTAGCCTTGGTGATGTAGGATGCTTTAAAGGGGAGTATATTGAATTTGTTAACTAGCAAGAAACTTAAATCCGAGCTCCAACTGGGTTTCAGGTTTAAATTAGATCAGAAATTTATTTTTCTTTTGTTTGGGCGTGCCAGTTTTTTGATCTGCTAGTTGTTGACAATGGCTGTCTTACTAGGAAACCAGCTGTTATCATGATTGTTGGCGTCAATGGAGGTGGGAAGACTACATCTCTTGGTAAGATCAACTACATAGCCATGGGGTCTGTGAAGCATACTCTTGTCTTCAAAAATGTTGTTTGTGAAGGATGTACAAGCAACTGAAAAGCTATTTATAACAATTGCGTATTATTGTCGTCAAGTTAGCATTTTTTTTTTAATTGTAAAGAAAAATATAAAAGTTAAGCATCTTATGGGATCATGGTTTGTAGTTAGCACTTAGCACTTAGATAAAATTGCATTAATCCTATTTGTCATCCAATGATTTTAGTATGGTGAAAGGTTTGCACGTGTAATTATTAAAGAGCAACTGCAATCTATTTATGTTTATCGCATATTGTTCAATAAGTCCAGCATATTCGGGGAATTCATGGTTTGTATTTAGCACATGAGAAAAAAGCTTTCATAAATTTTTCTTGATATTATTGCTAGTAAGTGCTTCTTCTTGCAGTTCTTTTGCGAAACTTCTGTCATTTTTATCAGGATGTTGAAGATTCTAAAGCGACTCTAACTGACAAAAAATATCTATGCAGGGAAGCTGGCCAATAGATTGAAGAAAGAAGGTGCCAAGGTGAGGTTATGGGTCAATTTTTTGTTTCTGTTCTTCTTATATGGTTATGTCTACTTCGATTTTAATATGATCTTAACTTCTACATGTGCATTTTGTATCAGTAAAATCAGCAGATTTATGCATGTTTTGAAATTATTATATGAGTTTCATAAACAAATTTGTTTGAAATTCAGATCATGGAATATTATCAGGAAAATAGTTTGTAAGTAGCCTTAGTTGCTAATTGAAGCCCTATATCTGGAATATCATTTCTTGATATCTATATATTTGAAACTTTCAAACTAAGACGTAATAGTAATTCTTGAGACTGTGCCTTTTGTACGCAAATATTTTTATTTTGTTTCCTTGTCATTATGACTAGTTGAAAACATAGTTCTAATTTAATTGCTAATATGAATTTGTAAGTGATATGTTTGCCAAAAGCTTGAAAATTCCAAAAACTACAAGATTCTGATGTCTGGCCAGTGCACTCTATAATTAGATGTCTTTCCGAGTCACATAATCCTAGCCTTTGCTGAGGGTTAAGTGGTTCTCATTTCCTTTTGACATTTCAGATTATTTCCAGGTATTGTTGGCGGCAGGAGATACTTTTAGAGCAGCTGCAAGTGATCAATTGGTGATATGGGCCGAAAGGACCGACTGTGAGATTGTTGTAGCTGAAAAGGAGAATGCAAAAGCATCATCTGGTAAAGATCTGATTGGTCTGGTAATGAGATTTAACTTGCCAATACTCCTAACACGTGATGATAAAGTTTTCCCTGAATAGTTCTTTCACAGGCTGTGAAAAAGGGTAAAGAACAAGGTTATGATATTGTTCTCTGCGACACATCTGGACGTAAGTTTGACAGATGTACATTTTTCAATTGATGTTGGGGATTTTTTAAAATTTCTTTTGATAATCAGGTTTGCACACCAATTATAGCCTGATGGAAGAACTGGTTGCATGCAAGAAAGCTATTAGAAAAGCCATCTCCAGTGCACCCAGTGTTAGCACTCTCAGCCTCATTTCCTATATTACCGTCTCATGGTAGTATTACATGATTATCCACTTATGTTGAGTAAAATAATGGGCTTGTGAGTCCGATGATTCGTTAACTTGATTCAAATATGCATTATCCTGCATTATAGATAAAATGCTACTTACCCTTTCTTGATTTTTCATTTTCTTCATTGAAGGAAGGAGAGGAGAGGGAAGATGGTCTCATCAACGTTATTTATGTATTTATAAAATGTTGAGAGGAGAAATATTTATATTGCTCATGAGGCATAAAATTAACATTAAAATTGTGACTCTGCACAAGGTTCTTGAGAATGGATCAAATAATTTTTGAACTGCAGAATTATCAGAGAAACTTAAGAAGTTCAGGGCTCAGCCCAGATAACCATACATTAAACCCTTTTGCACCATTTACTTGTGTAAAGAACTTGCGGAATTTTTTCTTTCGTTGTGACATAATATTTCTCTTATAAATTTTTCAGGAAATCCTGCTAGTGTTGGACGGGACAACTGGTCTAAACATGCTTCCACAGGCCAGAGAATTTAACGATGTAATATTTCCTATCCCTGTCCATTTAAACTGGAAATGTTAGTTAAACATATTCTATACCCTTTGTTTTCTCAAGGGTTGCTTACACACCAGCTCTACCAGAATTGAAAATATGGTGCTTAATCCTGAAATTCCTTTATCTCGGTGGCATATTATCAGTCTGTTGAAGTCAAATATATGTTTCCCCACCTCTACTGCACTAAAAATTGTGCCTGCTCTATTTGGCTTAATGTTCAAACCCAGGTCGTTGGAATAACTGGTTTGATATTGACCAAACTCGACGGGTCTGCCAGAGGTGGTTGCGTGGTATGTTTAGCATTTTCAAAATTTCCATTCTTTTTAGTTCATTCACTTTATGGTGATTTCTAACTCTCCAATATCTGTTATGAGCTATTTTCCCGAAATTCTTGCAGGTTAGTGTAGTGGACGAGCTTGGCATTCCTGTGAAGTTCGTTGGTGTTGGTGAAGGGTTAGAAGATCTGCAACCCTTTGATGCAGAGGCATTCGTGAATGCAATATTTCCATGAATTGGAAGGTCAGAGCATCTACATCACCGTCAATAACTACTCTGTCCTGCTGATCTCTTTTCTCATGTTCCTTGAGTGTTAGCATGTACTTTGTACTTTTGTGAACGGAAGTTTCTAAATGCTCAATTCATTAGGATCTTTATAGCTAGCTTGTAGTCCATATCAATATGCTTTATAATACACGCTGCATTCAGTTTTTGGAAAAAGGGAAGGGGGAATTACAAATGTGAAACAACCGAACACTTGCAACTTATCGAGCACTTTTACTTATCTAAATTCAGAAGTCGGCATTTTTCACTTCAATATCCTTCCCCGAATCAACCTTACCCCCAACTGGGCGTGCGAATGCTAATTATCCCTGTAAATTATCAAATGTGAGAGATATTTTGCTTGAGGTCTTCACTAGTCTGACTAGCTGATGAATCACTGCCTTCCTTGTTCAGGTTATTTGCCTCAGTCCTATGGGGCTTCCTAGCAGAACATTTGAGTAAATTTATGGCTGATGGTTGAACATTGGACTTGATCAATCAAATACTCAAAGCTTCTCTTTCCAGTCGATGGAGTATATGCAAAATGTCTTCTATTTCGTAGTCAAAACTGAGTTGCTGCCCAGTTTTCGAATGCGAGGCCTCAGATTATTTGGTAATATGTGATTCTTAGATGAGTGATGAATGTTTGAAGCGATGGACTTTATTATAACATCTTCAATTTAAATTTTAATCTGATAAACCGAATGTAATGGGTTGTATACCAATGAGAAATATGCAAGAAAGGGATACCCCAAAGGAGATCTTACTCAATTTTGTGATTATCTAATTTCTCTTAATGATAAAACTAGAGCAATACAATCTATTTGATGAAATGCAATTTGGGTGGTCTGTGAACAAAAATAGCATTGTTCTCTTATTACTTATAATTGATATATGATATTTAATTGATTTGTCATCTTAAATTCTATATTTTAAATGATAAATCAATCAAAATTATTTAAATATCACAATGCTTATTGGTAAGCAATGTTGATAAATATCATTATTCAAATAGAAAATTTTAAATTTATGCGACATCAATGTATAATGACTAGATGGTCTTTGAATTTTATTTTCAATAAATTTCGTCTATAATTTAAATTTCTATATTAGTTTAGCAATATACAGTTATAACTTATAACCACTATTTTTTCTTTCATTAAATTAAAAAGATATTTTATTAATTTGGGTAAGAGGTAAATTTTGTAACATGAGCCTAATTAAAAAGGGTAAATATATTAACAGAACTTTTGTTAACTACACTACATTTTTATTACAACGCATTCCCTAAATTTTTCATATTTTTTCACTTTTGTACTAAATTTTTTTTTTTTTTTTTTTATCGTCAACCTTCTATTAATTTTCACATCTTGTCTATAGAGAAGATTTTCATTCAAAATATTTGGCATGAGAGCCAAAAAGACATATTTCTCTCGTATTTTTAAATAATCGAAACAAATAGCTTATATAAAAGTTAAACAAAATATTTGTCCATCTTTGCAATGCACGTTAGTAGAATATTTGGATGAAAACTGTGCTAAAAAAATGAAATATGTTAATTAATTGAAGGTTAAGAATTACAATTCGAAGTGAAAAAAGTTGAGAACATAAAAGTAAGAGTAAGCAAATATTGAAAACCTTTATTGTAAATAAAATGTGGTACGGTTATAAAAATAATGTCGTAGAGATATAATTACCCAATTAAAAATTTGAACAAAAAAGGAAAGTCATAAGTGAGTATTTCATAGATTTTTATGGATAAATTTTATTTACAGTCACCAAACTTTTAGCAAGGTTTTAATTGGGTTATTAAACTTTAATTGATCTCTTTTAAGTCAGCCAAACTTCAATTTAGTTCCAACTGCATCACTAAAAATTTCAATATACTTTATTTTCAAATTCTACCACCATGTCCTTTGTCGTCCTTCAGTTGATGAAAGTTGCTTAATTAGCCATCTTACATCAACATATTTTTTACATAATCGTTACATGACATGTCAACTTATCACTATACCACATAATCAAATTGTTAAAAATACACACACACACACACACACACATTTTAACATAGACGTTATCATAACCCTCATTATACAATTTTCGTTTTTAGGGTATCGCATGATGATTATGTGAAAGATAATTTATTGTTATCGTCACCATTATTGTTATCATTTGATTATCACTAAAAATGACATAATAGTGAAATTTGAAACTAACTGAAGTTCAATGACACAAATTAAATCTATTATTGTTCTAATTTCGTTTATTAATCAATAATTTCAAGCTACAAAGATAGGATGGATAAATATATATGTACAAAATGGGTTACTTATTCTCACAAACAAGTAGCTTCCATGTATCTACAAAAATGTTAGCTCGTAATCCCCACCTTTTATTGTGATTAGTGAGTTAAAGATTTTGTCAAAAAAAACTTATAAGTGTCGCATGATACAAGATAGAATTCCTTTCACTTTAGAGTTCGATCCCATATAAAAATTCAATGAGCAAAATTCAAAATCAATAACATAGTTCCACGTCGTCGATCATTTACAGACTACAGTCCCTCTCTCTCACTTCTTTATTTCCCGCGAATATATGTAGCTCATCATTCATTAATCTCTGTCAATGGTTATCTCACACCAGGTATTTCACTTTCCTTGTACACATCAAACTCTTATTTCAATTACTTAACTCCAAATGATTAATCCCGTTTCAAGGGAAATATTTTGTTTCCTTTCATGGAGTCTTCCTTTCTTCTCGCCATTTTTTCTAGCCGTTTCTGCCCTTTCCATAATCCATATTATGACCGTTGGGTTCTGTGCTCTGCAAAAATTCAAAATTTTGGGTTCAAAATATGATTGGGGGTTTTCTTTCTTCTGAATTCTGATACTATGGTTTTACCATCAGTTATATTTTTCCCCCTCTTTTTTCCTGGGTTTGTTCAAGGTCTAACCTTAAACTGTAAGGAGGACTAGGAATTAATTTTCATTTCATCTAAAAAAACTAAAATAAAGAAGTATGGAGGATATTGAGGGGTCTGGTGCGGTCTGCAAATTCGCCTACAATCGATGGTGCTGATGATCATAAACCACTCAATGTTAAGAAGGATGAAGGCAACAAGAGGTTGAATCGTACTAGATGACCCTAATATTCCTATCTCGTGTGAGATTTTTCTTGTGTAAGATTCATAGTTAATAATCTGAAATCTGAAGCAAGTGTCGTTTCTAATTTAGTTTTGTTTCTTATTTCAATTCATAATACATTTTTCTTCAGATAAATATAAAACTCCAGAGTATATCTTCCCACAGGTCAAACCAAAAAAGATACTTCGATGAGAGGGAAGGTCGATTTGACTCGAATCCTGGACCTGATCTTGAATCCTTGAGTCCAACGAGCTATCACTGAGAGAGACGAAAAGGGGCTGACTTTAGACTATAAGGAGCTTGAGGCACCACAGGTAAAAATTGATTTTGCTGTAATTTTATGGAAATACTAGATTGAGTAGTTAGAATCAATGATTTTTAACTATTTTTACTTTATACTACTGTAGGAATACAAGAGTGACAGCTAGAACATCTTCAAAGGGGAAATGGACAAAGGAAGAGGTCAGTAGTTTCTCCTCCTTTGCACGAGTGTTTTCTTAATACTATTCATAGTTGATATTGTATTTTGGTAGATGTTGGAACTTAGTGGATTACAGCATATTTAACTGGGATTTGTTGATAACTTCCTCATCTTTTGTGATGTAATAAATTTTTGATAATTGAAGGACTTTCAATAGAAATATGTGTTGCCCAATAAATTTTTGTGTGTGTTTTCTTTCACATGAACAGGATGAAACTTTGCGAGATGCAGTTCAACAATTTGATGGAAAGTGCTGGAAAGGAATAGGGAAGTTTTAATAAGTATTTCTATGTTTCCACTCCTTGATAGAATTCTTCTGTCACGGTTTTCAGTACAATTAGTTCATGTTTGGTTTGTGTTATTGGACAGTACAATAGACGATTTTTTGTTTATTTTTTCTTCCTTACTTAAGTGAGTAGGATCTTTTGCAGCCAAATGCCTCCCTGGTCGAACAGATGTGCAGTTCTTACATCACTGGCAAAAAGTTATTCACCCCAAACTTAATAAAGGACCCTGGACTAAGGAGGTTTGAGTTTGACATGTGTTTGCCCTCTTGAGGACATTTTTGTTCATTAATATAATATTAAAGTCTTGTATCTTGTTCCGTTTTTACAGGAAGATGATGTTCTTATCGAGTTAGTTGGTAAACAGGGTAACAAAAAAAGGTTTGAAGTAGCAAAACACCTTCCAGGTCGTATAGCGTGAGAAACTTGGAGTTGAAGAGGAAGAGAATGGCACCTAGGCGCACTCATGGGCGCCTAGGCGCCCCGATACACTATTTAAAGCTGGTTTTTTCCCCTTCATTAGTTAACACCCGATTTTGAGAGAGAAAAATAGAGTGAGGCTTGGATAGAATTTATCAAGTAAGAGTTTGTTCTTCTTGGGTATAAATTCAAAGCAATTTTTTTTTCTTGGAGATTAACTTGAGGCTTGTTCAAGTAATCCAATCCATTGTTCTTCATTTATATATTGAAATCATTTCTTCCCCAATTTCTTATCTTCCAAAGTGGTTTGAGATTTTTTTTCACATTTCAAGTTTGTTTGATCTTGGGCATCTTAGGGAGGTGTTTTTTCCAACAATTTGGTATCAGAGCCATCTTCTTAAATCAGGGTGGTTGAGCTCCGATTTTTGGTGGGTTTGCTTGAACTTTGTTGTGCACACAAGGTGTTTGTGAAAATTTCCAAGTGAACTTTGTTGGTTTATTTCCGGTAAACAAGTAGATAAATCATGTTTACTAGAGGAACGGTGAAGATTGGGAAGTATGAGATATAGAAATTCAATGGGAAGAATGATTTCTCATATTGGAGAATGCAAATGAAAAATTTGTTAATTTCTCAAAAGTTGTACAAGGCATTGGCGGAAAAGGAGAAGAAGCACATAAATATGTCTGACGAGGATTTGGAAGAGCTAGATCTTGAGACACGAGCGTCTATCATTCTATGCCTTGAAAGAGATGGTTCGGACATTTCAAGGCAAATTGTACTAACAAAAGGGGTTCAAAGAAGAACAATAAGAATAACAACAACGGGAAGGTGCAAGTCAAGCAAGAGGTAAGTTATGCCTCGGAAGGGGGGGAAAGCGATGAGTGCTACACCATCTCTTGTGATGAAGAGACCTCCGGTAAGTGGATTCTTGACTCCGG